TCGGTTCAAGTGGCATCCCCTGCCGCGTCTCATGGCACGGCCCCGCCACGGGGACCTGCCCCCCAGCCGGTGGCTTTGCTGCAGAGGAGCCCGTGGATGGGGCAGATGGGGGTGAAGGGAAGCAGGCAGCTGGGATCTTGGAAAAGGCAACACACGCATGGGTTAAATGCACAAAGATCACCCCCACCTCCACAGGCACAGCCCCCGTGGAAAGCCGCTGGGCATGGCTGGGTCCCCAGCACCCGGCAGTGCAGCAAACTCGAGCCCAGCGGGGAGATCTGCCCCCTGAAATGGCAGAAGCCGTCTCTCCTGCTGATGCTCCAGGCCAAAGCCCTGCAGCTCTCATGTCTGCTTAGGACACAAGCAATTGCAGGCAGAAAAAAAGCATACCCAAGCATACCAGCCTCACCCAAGCCCAAACCAAGTGCTGTGCCAGGGGATGCCCAGTCCCCTTTCTCCCAAGCCTGGCTGTCCCCAAGCAGCCCGTGGACGGGGACTCAGGGAGGGTGCCCATGGAGGGACCCCCCTTCGCTTGTCAGCGGCAGTGGGAGGGAGAGGGAGGAGCAGGGCCCGCAGCCGACGGCAGCACCCCAAGGGAGCGGGGCCCAGCTGCCAGCGTGCTTGGCAGCACTAGTCAGCAGCAGGCTATAAATACCTCTGACGGGAGATAGAAACACAAAAGCCGTCTCCACTTTCCTCAAATAGCTCGGCAGCCGGGCCAGACAAAGGCGCATTGACGGGACAGCCGCAGCGTACCAGCTGGGCTGGGCTCCGCCAGCAGAGAGAAAGCCCGTTCGGGGTCGGGACCTCCCAGCAAACCTGCCCTCCTCAGGGCGCAGCAGGGTCCCCGGCACGTGGCAGGGCTATGCTCGATGGGTGCCCACCCGCCCACACTCTCCCTTGGTGCAGGGGGGGTAAGTACCCGAAGGATGCAAACCTTTGGGTAACATCAAGCTGTTGGAGGTCCCAGCCCCAGTGCAGCCAATAGTTGGGGTGCAAAGTGGCAATCACAGTGGGTATTCTCCACCCCTTGCTCTTCCTTTGCATATTCAACACCAGCAAGCATTTTTCAGGGCTGGCAGGGAGCAGCTGAGGTTGGAGGGCACATGCCTGGAGCGACCGTGTCCCTGTGCTGGCACAGATGGAAATGCAGGCAAGGCAGGAGTGAAAGGGGACGGGGCTGTCCAGGGACCAGGAAACAAGGAGTTACGGGAGCCGTGCCCCAGAGCGGCCCTGGAGAGCTGCAGTGTCACATAGCAACCCTTCACGCTCCAGGAGCACAACAGGTTTGGTCCTGCTCACTGCAACTTGCGGGACCAAGGTTGGTCCTGGGCAGCCGGGAGCACTACATCGGCTGGAGGAAAGAGC